ATATATATATATGTGTGTGTGTGTGTGTGTGTGTGTGTGTGTGTGTGTACATACACACAGTTTAGATGGAGTTTTCCAGATGTATACAAAGGTGTATTTACAGGTATTGCACTGAGGGTTGTCGTCCTGTTATACAGTTAACTATTCATCAGAGGAACTGTCCTTGTGTCTGGTTGTCTTGACGTACAGTGACCTGTAGCACTGGCCAGAGTGGAGTAGTTCAGACAGTTTGTGTCCACAGTGTGTGGGGTCTGCAGAAATCTTCTCTGGCCTTCTTTTGACAAGTGAGGTGTGCAGACTGTCCATGGAGGGCAGGCTGGCACCGATGATTGTTTCTGCTGGAGTCTCTTCCTGTCCTGTTTGGTTGCTGAGCCAAACCAGACAACGATGGAAGTGCAGAGAACAGACCCGGTGATTCTTCTGCATCAGCGGCTCTGCTGCTTGTGTTTATCACTGATGCCCTCCCTTTTTTTCTCATCAAAGATAAGAGATACCAGGAGGAACAATGTGCACATTCAGACGTCGAGGCTGAAGAAAGAAGTGAAGAGAGAGCAGAGGCTCTGAAGGATGCCCGTTCCAATGAAGGCAAAGACTTGAAACATTTGAATGGTGATGTATGTTTAAAAACCTACAATGAACTGGATAAACAGTCAAACCAGCGAGTTGCACGTCAATGGCTGCACAAAGACATGTTGCCTCAAACATGCGCTGATGCACACGGAGACAGTTACAAACTGAGTGTGCTGACAGAGAAGTCAGATTTGTCAGTGATGCAAAAAGATGAAGGACATGAGGCAAACGGACAGCAGCTTCAAGCGAGCTCAAAGGAGTACGTGTACCGTTGTTCCATTAGTGGGACTACGATACAACATTTATTACGCAATGGACACAGTAAGTGTGAGCACATGAAGAAAACGCTAAAGGCAAATGATCGGGAAAGACAGGACAACACTGTGACAGAGACTGGAGCAAAATCAAAGAGTGTGACTGATAGGTGCTCAAGAAACAGAGTCATGCCTGCAGAAGCTAAACATGCAAAAAATAAAAGCGGGGAGGTGGCAAAGGCAGGCATTAAACAGAGAACAGAGGCTGATGTCAGTGTGGCTGACACTGGTGTAAAGTCATTGTCCTCCTCTGCGTGGTCTCCTCCTTCAGCTCCGCACTGGAGAAGACGTTCACACAGTGCAGGTAGACTAAATGAACGCACCCAGTATCACTACTCACCAAACCTCTGCAGAAAATCAAGCAGCTTAAAGAGAAACGAGGAAATGCAGCATAGTGGCTGCAAACTGGAGGCCACACAAACTCTGACAAGTGAAGGAAAAACTGCAAGTTTAAGGAAAGTACAAAACATCAGTAAGAATAAAGTGAAAAGACGGCCATGGAAATGATGATGATGATGATGATGATGATGTAATGAGGATAATATGCTTTTAAAAATAGGATTAGCATCTTTAACAAGCCTGTTATTTTGACACTGCTGGCCTCTGTCACGTGCTGCTGCTAGCTGTGATACATAAACTGACTGTGATCAGGGACGTTTTTGTTGTCACTGTTGTATAGTACAGCATCCAGTGTTAGTGTTGTCCTGTTAAGATATGAACTCAGTGTTCTCAGTTTGATTTCAGCCAGTGACTTGTCTCTAGCCATGTCACCTGTCTGTTAAGTACAATAAAAAAACATCCCGCCTTTATGTTGGACAAAGTTTAGTGATTGATAGTTATTGTTGCCTTCAGTAACTTTCAGTCTGCAGAGGGAAGGTATCAATCACTGACAGTATTAACCATCCAGGCAGGGCATTATCGAAAACAGTGACTTCATATTTTGGCCACTGTTCTGAACATATGAACCATTGGAGTGTGAGAAAGCTGCAAACAAGCACCAAGAACCTGGCTTCTTATTTTGATTTTCAGGTCCACCTTAAAAGTAGCATAAAGGGCATTGTTCTGTCATATTTACAGGAATAAAATACAACGTATGCAGCAGCTAATACATTCCAGTAATAGTGACTATGACTTGAATCCTTTTTAGGTAGGTAGATAGGTACTTTATTGATCCCACAGTGGGGAAATAGAGAACAAACAACATAACACCATAAGAACAAACACCACACACATCTTGAGACAGCAAATTCCAAAGTACCTAAAGACCAGACCAAAACTATAGTGTTTGAGAGACAATCAAGAACAATAATAGTAATAATAGTCCTCCCAGGATTAGTCCCTGAGACACCAATCAAAGAATACCTAGGAACAAGACAAAAAAATAGTATTTGGGGGAATCAGGAAATCAAGAGCAGGAATATTTCTGTCATGATTAATCCCAAAGTGGAGTCAGTCATAAGGGTCTCTGAAGAAATACCGGTACTCAAAAATACCTAAAAGCAAGGCAATATAAAGTATTTGAGAGAGATCAGGAACAAGATTTTACATATCTGCACATTTGCAATGCATTTCATCCCCAGAATCTGAGTATTGCACCTCACTGACTATTGCATAGTCCTTTATAATTTTTGCAGTATATTTTTCCCTTAACACCTTAAATAAGGTACAGTGTGACATGAAGTCTAATGACTGTTCAACTAATTTGTTGTATTAAAATATCTCAGACTAACATAATCCTGAGTATTTATAGTTATGTCAAGATATGGACAAATCACGTGACTTGGCATTTGCTTATATGCAGACAGGAACAGAGAAATATATATGTGACTTTGCTGCCTTATTTGTTTTCATCCAGGGATAAGTGTTTATTTTAATGTAAAACAATCAGCATGAATATCATGTTTGTTTCTTAATTTACATGTAATCGGAACAACAGCAAATAACACTGAGCTGTCATACAAGGTAAAATGTATTTGTCATCTTTATAATCCAGTCAAGCACCAATTTGTCATGATTAGATCCCGTTACAAACAAAACAAAGATGATTATAGATATTTGTACGAAGAAACTATTTCTGGTGTATTTGTACTTGAGAAAAGTCACATTAAGAGAATTCCCATTATTTCTGTCGCCATACAGGTACGGAGGTCTGTCTGGGGGCGACCCCACCGCAGCAGTGAGTGAAATGAAAACTGACTCGTGAACTTTCGAGACACACAAAACAGATGTTCGCCCTACATCTGGGACAGTTTGTGTATTTACATGTAACGCCGTCATGCTGCAGCAGTGCGCCACACGTGGGGCAGGCTCGGATGGAGGGGCATGTCACAGACTCAATGGTGATGTCTGGACAAGTTGCCAGTGTTTTCAGTGACTCGTTGCCGCAGCCATCATTCCCACAGCGGTCTGTACGTAGAGCTCGGCCCTTCCACACCCTCAGGCACTGCCAGCAGAAGTCATAGGCCCGTCGTGTGTTGGCCGTGCACACTGAGCAGCGGACACGCAGGCTGGAATAATTTTTTCTCACCACAGAAGATTTGCATCCAGGACACTGTGGTGTGGTGAAAGAGGAACCAAACAGAGAGGGGGCGTTTGTTATTTGTATGTGGTAAAAGAGGGGTCGTTTTTACAGTTTCCAGACAGTAAAGTTCCAACAGGTACCTACCACTTTGGCACCAGGGTTCGCCCTGGCACGATTGGAGGCCATGGATTTTTCAAAGTACTTGGTTTCTTCAGGGGTCAAAAGGGCCATTTTACGAACCTCTGCGTATGGCCACTCCACATTGCAACCAAACTGGGCACACACGAATCTGGTTTCACCCTTTATTCAAATATTGAAAAGGAAATCATTGATCAGTGGCAGCCATGTTCAGCTGTGTCTGGTAACAGTGTCACTATCAAAGATCTCTGTTCTAGAAATGTGGATGAGAAATGACTATAAATGACTAGCTGCATGTGCAAACAGCGCCACCCAGTAATTTCCAAAATAACTCCAAATAACTAGTAGAATAAAGAACATAACAAGTAGCATAAAGATTTTACTATAATACGCACCCTAAATCGAACTGGCCCATTCAGTATATAGCATTCAGAACAAATGTAAATCATCATTAACATCTCTCTACAGTGAATTAATTACCTGGTCCAATAACCTGCGACACCAGTTGGTGAGAGACATCGGGGTCACTGCGTGGCCACAGGACATCAGGGCTCTTCGAGACTGGAATCCCTCACACAGAACTGAAACACAAAGAAACCGTGACACATTCCAACAAAAGACGAAGTTATATAGAATTAAATGCTCTATTGTTTCCCTATAGTTGTACATTTTAGGCTAGTCTATAACATGATAGATCGACTGAGTCTCCTACTTACAATCCAACACATCCTCCCCGTCCACAAATTTAAGAGACGAGTCGTGGGGGTCGTAACACTTTTCACTTGTAATACACGTCTCCTGTGTAGTACACGTCTCCTGTGTTGTTAAATTCGAGCCCATCTTATGTTGCTGTCTGATGTTTCCTGTAAAATAATTAACAATGAGAGGCTACAGACGAGGGTCGGAGGCACTTTCTCTTTCAGTCTGTTTACGTTCAGTCACGTTACCAAAAAGCTGAAATACGTTGCCTAGAGGACAGATATCAGTTTTCAACAACGCCTTTCCTCAAATCACAGTGGAAGCCACATTCATTTCGGCATTTAAAAATGCATAGGCCTATATAAAGGCATAATAAAGAATTGCGTCGATATTGTTGTTACAAATCACATCGATATTGTTGTTAAAAATCAGGCCACATTACGCACGGGAACGTCCGGACGTTGTCGATATTGTTGTTACAAATCACGCAACATTACTCACGGGAGCGTCCGGACGTTCGGTGTTTTCAGACAAGTGGCAGGGTGTTTGGTTCACCACACTGTTTTCCCTGTGTTCTGGTAATTGTAGGTGAATTCCGTTTTTTCAGGTTTCACTTTCACCAGGCGGTTACAGGAA